TCGACCTGCCGTAAGTTGGCTAGGGTTGCCTTGGACTACGAACGATGAAAAATACGTAATGCGTAATGCGTATGCGTGATACGTAAGGGGGGGGGGGGGGGCTCTGGGGCGCGCGGGGCGAGATACATAATCCGGAAACGTGAGACGTGGTACGTAAGGCACCCGCCGCGCGGGCCATTGCACCGTCCCCGGGGCAAAGCTTTGCGGTGAAAAGGACGTATGCGTAATGCGGATACGTGATACGTCGAAGACGCCCCGCCCTCCGCGGGCCGCGGCGCACCGGCGGAGATCCATAATCCGTATACGTGACACGTGGTACGTATGAGGCAACCAGAGGGCCATCGCACCGTCACGCACGCGATGATTATGTGTATGTATTGACGTTTTCTATTTATTTTTGAAGGGGGAGGCGTTCGACGGGCTGCGTAATGCGACGCATTTGGACTGGCAAGTGACGTACACGCACCGAGTTTACGTATTCCCGAGAGGGCGTAATGTGATGCGTATGCATATGGGCCTCTGTGCATATGCGTAGCAGTACAGACCACGATTGCCGTGCTCGCAGCAGCCGGGATCGCGGCAGAGTATGGTGGAGAGCTCTACCCGCGCACCTGCCCAGCGAGGAGCTCGACGCCGCTCCTGGCAGGCGAGGCAGGGATCTCGCACGATGTCGTGGGCGACGCCCGTCCGCAGCTGACACGTCGTGGTGACGATGATCGCGAGGAGCATCACGGTGAAGAGGAGCGTCCCGGCCCCTCGAGATGGAGGAGAGGAGGAAAAGGGGGCCGGGGCGCAGGTTCTTCTTGTATCGCAGGGGGGTAGGCTGCACACGTGTGTGTCTCGCACACACGTGAATTCCAAATCCGCGAGCCTCTCGGCAGGACGCTCCGTCGTCGGATCCGTCGTCCTCGGCCTCGGGCCACATGTCCCAGTTCCTGCCTTCCACCCAGAAGCGGCTGACCAACATCGCGGTGGTGCGGTACAAGCGCGCCGGCAAAAAGTTCGAGGTAGCCTGCTACAAGAACACCATCATCGCGTGGCGCAACAAGGTGGAGACCGACATCGACGAGGTGCTGCAGGCGCACACCATCTATGCCGACATCGGGCGCGGCGTGCTGGCCAAGCGGGAGGACCTGATCGAGGCGTTCGGCACCGACGACGAGGACGCGGTCTGCGTCGAGATTCTGAACAAGGGCGAGTTCCAGGTGTCGGAGCAAGAGCGGTGCGCTAGATGCGCGGTGCCCAGCTGTCTGTTTGGAGGCACTTGTGCCCTTGGCCGCGCGGCCTCGGAGTCCACACAGCGCCCACCAACGCCGTATCGAGGGCCGCGGGCTCATCACAACCCTTTGTCTAGCGCCCGCCTTCCCCTCTCCCGGCCGGCCGCCGCCTCATCCCAAGCCAGCCCCTCGCACCGCGCCTCGCACCGTCACACACCAGCACCCTTCCCTTTGCGCCTTGCTCCCGCGCAGGAGCGGCACGCGCAGCTGGACGCGCTGATGAGAGACATCGCGGCGCGCGTCGCAGACATGGTTGTCAACCCCGACACTGGCCGGCCGTACCCGCAGCCAACCATCGAGCTGCAAAGTGAACCTTCTCAGAACCTTCTCGGAACCTTCTCGGAACCTTGCTGCAGGCAGCCAACCATCGAGCGCGCGATGCGAGAGACGATTCACTTTGCACCGAGCGACCGCAAGTCGGCAAAGCAGCAGGCAGCCGCTACAGACCCGCCCCCACCCCTTTCCGCGCCCGCCGCCGCGCCGCCGCCCGCCGCCGCCTGCCGCCCCGCGAAGAACGCTCTCTGCACCGTCATCATCAAAGCTGTATCTCTGCTGTGTCTCGGCTGTCCCTCGGCTGTCTCCTCTCGGCTGTCTCTCGGCTGCCTCTCGGCTGCCTCTCGGCTGCAGCTCGGCTGCAGCTCGGCTGCCTCTCGGCTGCCTCTCGGCTGCCTCTCGGCTGCAGCTCGGCTGCAGCTCGGCTGCCTCTCGGCTGCAGCTCGGCTACACCTCCGCAGGCGCTGCTCGTCATCAAGGCGCTGCAAGCTTCGGAGGCGATGCCGATCGAGCGGGCGCCAGCTGCCCGCCCGCGCCTCGCCCGCCCCCTCCTCGCTTCTTCCTGCTCGAAGCCCTCTCCTAAGGAAGAGAAGACGTTGTGCTGCGCTGCGCGTTCACCCTCGCTCGGGCTTCACAGCCTTGTTATTGAGAAGAAAATACGTCCTATGGCGCTGTGTTCACAGGCGCACATGCGTCTGCGGCTGCTCCTCCCGCAAGCAGAACTCGGCGAGGCGAGGGAGAGGCTGCAGGCGAGGCGGAGCCGGGAGAGAGAGGGAGATGTGGCGGAGATGGGGCGGAGATGGGGCGGAGATGGGGCGGAGATGTGGCGGAGATGGTGCGGAGATGTCGCGGAGATGTGGCGGAGATGTGGCGGAGATGTGGCGGAGATGTGGCGGAGATGTGGCGGAGATGTGGCGGAGATGGGGCGGAGATGGGGCGGAGATGTGGCGGAGATGGGGCGGAGATGTGGCGGAGATGGGGCGGAGATGGGGCGGAGATGGGGCGGAGATGGGGCGGAGATGGGGCGGAGATGGGGCGGAGATGGGGCGGAGATGTGGCGGAGATGGGGCGGAGATGTGGCGGAGATGTGGCGGAGATGTGGCGGAGATGTGGCGAAGATGTGGCGGAGATGGTGCGCATCGCCTGAGTGAGATCTGGGGAGATCTAGGGAGATGTGGCGGAGATGGTGGGCCCCTACCCCCCCCCCCCCCACATACACACACACACACACACACACACACACACACACACACACACACACACACACACACACACACACACACACACACACACACACACCGCCCCACCCCTCTCGCCCCCCGGCCCGCAAGGCGCTCGCCCCCGCAGGCGACGCGTCTGGCCGGCTGCAGCTGGGCGAGGCGGAGGCGGCGGAGGAGCGGGAGGCGCGCGACCACGCCGCCACCGCAAGGCTCGCGGCACACCCCACAACCTCGGCCGCACCTCGGCCCCACCTCGGCCGCACCTCGGCACCACCTCGGCCGCACCTCGGCCCCACCTCGGCCCCACCTCGGCCCCACTTCGGCCTGATGAGCCGCCCCTGGCTCCCCTCTCGCAGCGGCAGCGGAAGCGGCGGCGCCGAAGCGACGCCGCCGCCCGCGCTGTCCGCGCTGCCGTGTAGCGTCGACCCGTCGCTGTACCGGTGGAGACCGCCACGGGATTGAGCGAGACACAGCGAGATGCTCCGAGATCGGCCCGAGATCGGCCCGAGCTCGGCCCGAGATCGCCCTCCCGCGGCAGGCCAATCGCGGCGCTCGTTGGCGAGCTGGGAGGCGCGGTGCACGTGGTGGCACTCAAGGCGGCGGGCGAGGCGGAGGAGGCCGACTTTGGCCTCCGCGCGGCCCCAGGGTCCGCGGCCCTTTAGATGCGGCACACTGTGTGGGCAGGCGTCGGGGAGGCAGTGGTCGGGCCGAGGCGGCGGCGAGAGGGAGGGCAGGGGGGGGGGGGATAGGGGGGGATAGGGGGGAAGGCGTCTCCCGCCTTCTGGTCGCCCACGGGCCAGCCCTTGTCGCGGGGCCACCCGATGCGGCACACTCGCCGCCTCCCCTCTACAGCGAGCCGCCCTGGCGCCCTGACGCCCCCCGCCCCCCCCCCTCTCCCGCGCCCGCATCGGCCTCCTCCCGGCCCTCCTCTCCCGCAGCGCCCCCGAGGCGACGCGTCTTGCCCATCTCCGAGTAGGCTCGACCCCCGCGATGTCTCCCCCGCCGTGCCGCCGCGCGCCGCCGCCGCCGCCGCCGCTGCCGCGCCCCCCACCGCCGGCGGTAGCGGTGGCGGCAGGGGCGGGGGCGGCGGAGCCGCGCCGAGGGGAGCGGTGGGCAAGGGCGCGGGCAAGGGCAAAGGGAGTGGGACGACCGCTGCCGCCGGCCGCGGCGGCGGCGACGCGGCGCAAGACGCGCGGCGCGCTGAGCGTATGTTCCGCCTCAACTTGCGCTCCGCCGAGGCGCGCGGGGCGTGCGGGCGCCGCAGTGATGTCTCGGCGACACCCTCCGACGCACCTCGTAGGCCGGGGACCCGGTGGCGCAGCTCGAGGTTGGAAAGGCGTCGTTTGGCCAACCAAGGCCGCCAGTGCCCCCCATCAGCGTGTGAGTGGCGACTCTCGCCTCACCTCAGGCGTACTTGCACGGCGCCGGTGCCGCGGCGGACCCGGAGCAGGCGCGCCGCTGGCTCGAGCAGGCGGCGCTGCAGGGGGTCCACGCGGCCAAGGCGCATTTGGAGCAGATCTCATCACCCTGACCCAGGAGCGCCGACGCGGCCGCTCCAGGACGTGGCGAGTGATCGCATGAGTGGATCGGGAGAGCCCAAGTGCTCTCAAGTGCCCCCCCGCACAAGACGGACTCGAAAAAGACAAGTTAGCGCTACTGCGGTGTTTTGGGTGTGATTTCTGAGAGGAGATCTGGATACGTTCGTTATGAGAGGAAAACCCGTCGCTCGCGGCAGGGACGCACACCCTCCACCCACATGCAAGGAGTGGAGAGAGAGAGAGAGAGAGAGAGAGCAGTCAGGAGGAAGAGAGCGAAGAGGGCACGTCAATGGGGCGCAATGTATGCGAGAACGAGGGACGCGCACACGGTACACACGCGCCGGAAGACGGGACTAAGGCCAGTCGGCAGCCCGTGAGTACCCTGTGGAGGCTGCAGGCGGCGCGGGAGGGGACAGAGTCTACTGGAGTTCCACAGTCACGCAGAGTGGGGTGGGAAGCGAGCCGAGGATGGCTGGCTAGTCGCGCTTCCGGCGGTCCCGGCGTACAACGCCGTCAACCCATGTCGCCTGCATCGGGAGGATAACCCTTCCGAGCTGCGCAGGCGGCGGCACGGGCGGCGGCGACGGCGGCGGCGACGGCGGCGGCGTCGAAGGCGGCGGCCCCGGCGAGGGCGGCGAAAACGGCGGCGGCGCAGGCGGCGGCGACGGGCCTGGCGGCGGCGCGGGCGGCGACGGCGGGAAGGGCGGCGGCGCAGGCGGCGCTGGCGGCATTGGCGGCGGAGAGGGCTTTGGCGTCGAGGGCGGCGGGAACGGGGGAGGCGCGGGCGGCGGCACGATCGGTGGTGGCGGTGGGAAGGGCGGCGGGAAGGGCGGTGGCGACGGCGGCGAGTAGTCGGTGATGTCGATGGCAATGGCGGGCCGCGAGCAGTCGTCCCACGAGCCACCCGCGTCCTTCTGGTGGTAGCAGTTGTAGACGTAGTAGTAGTACTTTCTGCCGGGCACGGTGCACGGCACGTCGATGAAGGTGTAGGGGTGGTCGAGCCGCGGCGCAATGTCTGAAGTCATGTAGACCTGCTCCATAGTCTGCGCATCGTAGACGACGAGGTGCAGCCGGTACTGCACGTTGCACGGGCAGGTCATCACGAAATCCTCCCCGTCGAGCTTGTCGGTGAGCTTGACGCGCACGACGCGCGTCGAGTTCTCGTAGATGCCGTCCGCCGCGGCGGCCGAGCCGGTGCGCGAGTACAGCTTGATCTCTGGCGAGATGGCCTGGCGCGGGCAGCCGAAGTCGGGCACGTACGCATAGATCGAGATGCAGCCGCCGTTGAGCGGCGCGTACTGGCACTTGGGATCGTCGGCGCACGCGTTGCACTGCGTCTCTGTCGAGAGGAAGTCGTCCAGGTGGTACATGGCCTGGCAGTAGTCGGTCAGCGTGCCGCCCTCGAGGAGGACGCCGCCGTACGTCATTTTGGCGTGCGTGATCGGCATCGTGAAGTAGCCCATCGCCTCCTTCTCGTACGAGTAGGTGCCAATCTTGAACTGGGAGAGGCCCGTGTAGTCGCCGACCGCAAAGTGAACCGTGTAGGGCGTGACGGGCATCGGGCCGAGGATGAAGCCGTCGCCACAGCAGGCGGCCCAGCTCCAGTGCATGTCGATGACGTGGGCCCAGTCGCCGTGCGGGTGCGCCTCGTCGACGTGCACCGTCACGTTGTAATGGTCGTCATACGTCACGTCCTGCGGGTTCTCGTACAGAAGGACAGGGTCCGAGTTGATGCCGGTGTCACCGAGCTGCAGCCCGATTTGGAGATGACGACCGTCACGTCCAGGAGGGTGGGGGGGCGGCGCGGGCGCCCCTCACTCGCTTCTCACGAGAAGCTCACGACGATCAAAAGGTCCCATCTTCTCTGCTCCGGTTGTCCGGCGAAATCCATTTTCTCCTTGTCGGGGTAACTTCCTGTTTGTCGCTGGCTTTCGTGTTAAAGAAAGGAGTGAAGAAATATTGCAAAAAGAAAAAATCGCTTTGTCGGGGCGTAACCGTCACATATGGCCCCGAAGAAGAAGGCCAGCAGGGACAGCTCGGCGACTGCCGGGTCCAAGACCAAGGCCAAGTGGCAGCCAACAGTCCCGAGCGGTGCGCCAATCCTACCACGGCGCAAGGGTGGCCGCGCCATTGCCTGCCGGGTGAGAGGGATCACATGGGGAGCTCTCGACTTCACGGTGGTGGTGGACGCGGAGCAGCCGCTCTTCGACGTGGTGGAGCGCATCGTTGCACAGCACGGGGGCGCTGTCCACGCCGACACGCTGGTTCTCTATCGGGGCGCGTGCCCAGCAGCACACGAATGCTCAGCACCCATCGATGCGCCCGCACACTCCCGTGCAAGGCGATTGCCGTGGGCCCTCACAACCCCATTGGCCCTCGCGAGCCTCACCTCAGACTCTCGTGTTATGAGTTGGTATCTCCTCGTATTAGGCGATCCGCCACTCTCTGCACCACTCTCTGCTGAGTTGGTGAATCCATCGCGCCTGCCACCCAAGATCACCCGAGGCCCTCAAAGGATCTCTTCACGGTGCTGCCATCCCCACGCTGAGAACATGGAATAGGGGCGGCCGCTGGGCGATCTCGAGGCGGGAGGTGCACTCGAGTTGCGGTACGATTTTGTGGGCACCGCGATGGACTGCCCACTTGCGCTGCGCGAGCCCAGCCACTTTGGGACGGCGGCAGGTGCTCGTAGCAGCAACAACGCACTGCCCTCAACTGCCAGCGAAGCCGTGTGCCTCTCAGACCCGACCGCTCATGTGCGTGCTCACCCTCCTCGCCAAGGTACGAATTCCGCTAAAGAGTCGCGCCGGAGCTCTGTCGTTCGTTCGCGAGAGCCGCGGCCTAGCAGTGCCATGAGCGCGGTGTCGGACCGCCCCTCATCGCGGGCAAGCGCCTCGGACCGCCCCTCGTCACGAGCGAGCGTGGTCGACCGGCCATCCTCCCGCGCCTCGAGGTCTAAATCCCTACCGGCGCGGGCGGGCGGCTATGCCCCATACCTCAGTCGATATCGGTGAGACTCTTTGTCGTGCCACTTACTCCGAATTTCACTCCGCACGTTGTTTCCGGCCCTACGTGCGCAACAGGCTAGCTAGTCAACGCTGCTCACTGCGGGTCACACCGACAGTAGTTTCGACTGACGCGGCGGTAAGAAAACGGTGCGTTCGTCGAGCTGTGGTGAAGAGATTCGTTCCCCGGTATAAGCCGGCACGTAATCGTAAATTTACCACGCGCGAGATCGGCCACGCAAAGACTGAGTGCGACGCCCGCGCGCCGGGGGGGTCGAGGGGTTCGTCCCCTGAGGGGAGGGTGTTTTTTGGTGTTCAAGGGGGGGGGGGGTCGACGTCGTCCTTTTTTGGCACGAGTTTTTAGCGACGGGCGCGTCGTGCGTTTCTTCGTCGCCGACGACACGACACACGCGAGAGTCGTATGCCACACGTACGGTTGTTGCGCAGTGGTACAAGCCATTGCTTACGGAGCAGCTAGATGGAACAGTCGGGCCGCATACTTGGCGAGGCTCGCTGCGGCTGAGTAAGCCGTGACCCGTGTGTGTGTCTGACAACATCATCCCTGGGCAAAAGCTGCTAGGGCAAAAGGCGCCGCTGCACCTCGCGCCAGCGGGAAGGGTCCGCCTTCATCTGTTGCCGCTGGGCCGAGAAGCAGATGATGTACTCGGTGCCGCGCAGCTCAAAGGCCACCTGAGGGGGAGTGGGTGCTCGCCTCTCCACCGCCAGGCGGCGCCGGCATCTCGGAGAGAGCCTCAGCTCGACCGCGGCGCACCTCGTCAACGAGGTGGCGCCGTGCGTACGCCGCCTCTATGACCTTCTGCACGCGTGGCTCGTACGGCTGAAAGCGGCCGCCGAGCATAACCCGCCACTCAGCGCGCCCGCCCGCCGCCGTGTCCCCGCCCGCCGTCCCTCCGCGCTGGCGCGTCGCCCCGCCGCCGCTCCCGCCATCGTCATCGTCGTTGTCTTCCGTCGCCGAGTCCTCCTCCTCCGCCTCCTGCGCCCCGCTGGCGGCAGGCGCAGCCTTCTCCGCCCCCTCCTCGTCGGCCTCGTCCGCCTCCTCGGCGTAGTTCACCTTGTTGCGTCGCGCGCGTAGCTTGGCCGGCTTCAGCTCGACGGGCGCATCCTCCCACTCGCTCTCCTCGCCGTCGCTCTCCTGCGGCGATGGCCAGCGCACCGGGCAACCGTCAGCAAGGGGACATGCAAGGGGGTCGGCATGGCTCATCGCCAGCGCAACCCTCCCCCCCCTCCTCAATTCCAAGATGCCACTCAACTCTGTCTTGACTTTCCTCAAGATCATATACCGGAGGGACCCATGCTCCGAGACGGATTCACTTGATCTCAGGTGCGACTCGGTCGATTGCAGCCATTGAGGGCTCTCTGACTTATCTCGATCAAGTACGATGACATCGGTGTCTGAGTTGAGTATTCCAAGCCGCGGCAAGAACGTCTCCTCAGGTTTCGTCATCCATAGGAAGTCAAGTGCAAATTGAGCCT